GCTCACCGAATCAGCTAGCGCGGCAACAACTGCGTACCAAGTGAGGGAGATCGATCTCACGTACGGCGCGGCGTGGTCGTCGCGTATGCTACGCGTGAAACGCCCGTGGAGGCGTGGACTGATGGCTAGAATTAGCTCAGATCAGGGACGACGACTCTCTGCTTGCCTTGACTTGAAACGGAATTTTCAATCGCTGCCTCTGCCTGCAAACCCGCATCATGTAACATCACTAGATCTACTATGCGTGTACGTATGTACGCGACTATGGGGGTGTTTAGGAGAGACTCACAGAAACATAAGTCAGTCTCTAGGGGAGGGACTTATATTTTTTAGAGAGGGGCTTCCCTAACACCCCCTATATAGTATATACGCGTCGGTGTTCCACATGCATGTCTGTCTGCAGATTAACGTACCTGTCTGTCGAGCGTAACATGTACAGTACTAGTATTATACTCGTACTAGTAGTACTCCCTCCGTTTCACAATGTAAGTCATTCTAACATTTCCCACATTCATATAGATGTTAATGAATCTAGACATATACTGTCTAGATTCATTAACATCTATATGAATGTGGGAAATGTTAGAATGACTCACATTATATGTCTAGATTCATTAACATCTATATGAATGTGGGAAATGTTAGAATGACTCACATTGTGAAACGGAGGGAGTAGCATACTAGCGGAATAGACAATGTTTGCGCTGAACTGAAACCCTCCTGGAGAAAGTGCAGCACGCCAACCACCGCCGCCAGTCCACACAACCTCCATCTCACTCAACCTCACGCAGCTTAGCTCCTGCTGGTTTTGGGGAACGAATTGGGGCAAGGCAAGGTAAAAAAACCGTCACATACTCACTCCTCTCGCTGATCATTGCGATCAAATTTGACAACAGCATGTACCTTATTACCCTTCTTGGCTCATTTTCCAGATCTGTTTTTATATGAAAATCAACGGAGTACATAAGACCAGGTGTTTGGCTGTAAGGTAGGAGTATGTACAGTCGGAATGTCGCATTGTTTTCCACGCAGTTTCAGATTTCAGACATTGGCAGAGCAAGGTACTAGCTAATTAAGAGGTCAGGCCCGACCTAATCCTGCACCGATCGTACAGGGAGAGAAGCCATAAGTTGGCGACACTTTTGGACAGCGTCCATGTCGCGAGCTGTTGCCGCAGCACCATCTCACTGACCTCCATTGCCCATGGACCATCCATCACTGACAACAACCGGCGCCGGCCAAGATTAAAACCAGGGTCCCTTTGCCATTAGCTAGGCCCCCCCTTGCATCCTTCTAGTTCTATCTACTACTCTGTCTATCTATCTATCTACATCGATCTATTGTTGTCAATTATCATCATCCATCCATCATCCAATGATATAAAACCAACACACAGCTAAATAAAAAGCAGAAAATGAGGGGCAAAAAATAGCCATCGAATTTCAGATAAGCACGGACAGATCGGTAGACGGATCAGCACTGAATGCAAAATATCAGGGGATGGAAAATGGAATGATTGTGAGAGAAGAACGAAGAACCCTGAAAGCATGCATGCATGTGGTTCCATCTCTTGACAAGCAAAGGATACATATTTACACATGCGTTGCAACTTTCTGCCCTTCTTTCTAGCTTGATGCAGTTGCTTTCTCCAACCTCCTCTCTCCCTTTCTGTCTGCAGGCTGATTGATACTACTACTACTACTATTTGGTAGCCCCATGGATTAGGCATGAGACGCAGCAATGCAACATATAGACAGGAGACAACTACTACATAATTCTCAAAAAAAAAATAAACTACTACATGTTAAACATAGCCAGAAATCAATTTATCTTGAGACGAAGAGATTAATAAGTAGCGTGTGATACGGAAGACGTCTACTTAATATGGAGATGATACCACTAGTACGTACGTGAGTGGCTAGCGTCCAAATCGCCGCTTTTTCCTTGGCATCAGCTGCTAAACTCTGCTGTTGCTTTGTGTGGACTTCAGCTCATCAGCTGCCCCCTTTTTGGGATTGGAATCTTCTTCAGGTAGGAAAACTGGAACAGTACTACTCCTACTAGTGTACTACTTGTAGTGTTCTACTCCTTGATGGTTGAGAAGAGAACCATTAATTGATGCAAATTACTGCTGCTACAGACCCCATTAATATAGCATTTAATGACGAAATCCAGCAGCAGTAACATTCATTACCCATGCAAATAAATCTGGCTTCTCTGAAACACATCCAGCATGGACAAACGAAAGTAGTAGTAGTTCTTCATCAGAGTTTTCAGGGGAAACTCTGTGATCTGATCCCTTTCTGCTGAAGCGTCTGAAACTTTGAACGAGAAAGCGTCAAGACACTAAACCGGGTATTATGAACGGGAAAAGGTGGTGTTAATTAAGTATACTAGTGTTAGCTCAACATCAAGCTCAAGAGAGTGTGTTTTGTGATGATAGCGTGAATGATAGCTCAAGAGGAGGGGGGGCCCTTGGGCCGCCGTCCACTATTTGTTGATTTGCTCAGCTGTAAGCCACGCATCGCGTGCCGATGATCCACCCAAAAAAAAGAACACGAGGGCACTGGGGTGAGCGAGCAAATCATGGCTCCAACTTGGACAGACCGAAAGGCACCTGGCAAAATTTCACTACCGGTAGTGTGCTGCTGTGAGAGCTGTGTTCGTTATGTTGGAGACTAATCCTCCGCACACGCAAAACAAAGCGACGTATTAGTGTATGATTAATTAATTATTAGCTAAACAAAATTTAAAAATAAATTAATATATTTTTTTAAAACAACTTTCCTATAATTTTTTTTTCAAAACGATTACCTTTTATCAGTTTGGAAAGCATGCACATGGAAAACGAGTTACCCAAAAATGAAGAAAATAACAGTCTTAGGTGCAGTGTGAACATGGTTACTCGGTAGTACTGCAATGATAGGTAGGTGGTGCCACGGTAAAATTGTGTCTGCTACAGTAGACTAATGCAGAAAAAGAAGTATTGGTATTTTTTATGAACTGTTGATGGCGGTTTTACTATGTCTATCGATTTCGACCATCAGTAATGGCTTGGAAAAACTATTAATGCATTTGACTACTCATTATATTTGTGTCTAACACAATAAATTAATGTCTATGGCTCTGATAAACCATCAATGGTAGCTTTACTATGGCTATTAATTCCAGCCATTAGATTTCAATCCGATCACTCGATAAAACAACTAATATATGAAATTCTTCATTCTATACCTATAAATTTCAGCCATTAGATTTCAATCCGATCACTCGATAAAACAACTAATATATGAAATTCTTCATTCTATACCTATAATGCAGAGTATCCGTTTTCGGTATGGATTATGAATTGAGATATCCCTATTCTGGTAAAAGCGGAGTTGTCTTACCTCTTCCTCACCATGTAAAAAAAAACACCTAGAAAACCAAAAAAAAAACGTTGTTTCCGTAAGAAAATCAACCTGGTCACCAGACTAAACTGGATTGATAAAACTAAAACCCATTATTAAAACCATTCGTTTGTTTTCCTCCCATCCTATTACAGAATGGTTGTGTTCCAGTGAACGGGCATGGAATGTGCATCCAGCTAGAGTGCCCAAATGGTTGTGTTGTTGTGGCTCACAAGTCACCTTTCTGACAAGGTATGCAATGCGTGATGCGTGATGCTTCAGGGAGCAGAAATGAGGGGGGGAGCTAAACTGAAATTGTGTTTGGTGTTTGCCTTTGAGGGTACCCTGGCTGGCTGCAGATCATAGCAGGTTGTTGACACCTGCTCAAATCCCATGTTCGTTTGTTCGTTCGTTTCAGGAGTTTTCTCCGGAGGAAAACACTCGGAAGACGTTGCAAGTTGCTACTACTAGAAGAGAACACGCGTTGCTTGCTTGAGCTAACAATTAACAATCTATGCAACAATCTCTCGCAGGGGAAAAAGATCTATATAATCATCTACATTGCATGTCAAAACTAGTGGATGTTCACTAATAAACCATCTTCCTAGTTTGAGAAATCCAAATTTTCATTTTTCCAACTTAAAGAATTACCATTTGAATTGGGCATGCATTATGTAATTTCAATGTATTACTTAATTGCATTTTACTAATTAGCTAAACACTATTCAAATATTTGAATTCGCGACTCTGGGATTCAGATTTTAACTCAAAAATCACATTTTAACTCGAAATTACGAATGCAATGGTTAAATAGTGCGTAGCCACATAACGACAAATGGTTGATTCAAGATTTTGATGAAAATTTTTCGTACCTATTACCCCCTCTCAAAATATAAGTATTTTTAAGATTTATATTATGTAGCTGTATCTAAGTACACATGCTTAAAACATACTCCCTCCGCCCCAAAAAAAAAAAAGACAAACCCTGGTTTCCGTGCTCAACGTTTGACCGTCCGTCTTATTTGAAAAAATTATGAAAAAAATAAAAAGACAAGTCACACATAAAATATTAATCATGTTTTATCATCTAACAACAATGAAAATACAAATTATAAAAAAAATTTATATAAGACGGACCGTTAAAGTTGGACACAGAAAATCAAGGTTTAATTTTTTTTTGGACGAAGGGAGTAGTAGTAAAGAGGTGGTATATGAAAACACAGAGTGATGCAGGCATACAGCTACACCATACTAGGCCTACCTGTCAGTTTGACAGAAATCACCATTTCAGCTGGCTGTGCTGGCTGCTGCAACCACTACACTGGGCACCGAAGCTTCTTGGACACAGAAAACCGCGTAATTAGCCAATAATCTACTCCTACTACTAACTTAATAATAATCAAACATTTTCACTCGCCTAGTCCAACGCATTACAACGACTAATCATTCCCCTCCTTAACCATAAATAAATAAATAAATAAATAAACAAACGTACGCTCCCTCCTGTCTTTCTTCCAACCAAATCATTTCGTGTCGCGTAATATAACCCTCCCAAAAAAAAATTAAATTCAAACCCCCCCAACCTGCCTTCACTCGAAGCAAACCTCACCTCACCTCGCGTGGTATATAACCACCACTCCACCAACGAGTCAGAAAGAGAGAGAACAGAAGAGGGCAAGAATTCCACGAAAAGATCAATCAAAAAGCCAAAGCGAAGCGAGAGAAGGAGAGAGAGATCCAAAAAGCTCGCCACTAACCTCTAGCTGCTCCCCGCTTTTGGTTTCGGATTCGCGTCGCGGCGTGCGTGTGCTGAGGAATCGAGTCGAGCTAGGGAGGGAGGAAGGTGGCTGGCGCGCGGCGGCGGCGGCGGCGATGGACGGCGACGCGAGGGCGAGGAGCGGCGATGGCGCGGGGGCGGGCCCTGGTGCTAGTGGCGCCACGACGTCGTACATGAGCATTGACGGCGAGGAGAATGGTGGCGCCGGCGGGGCGAAGGTGTGGGTGCTCGTGCTGCTCTTCTCGCTGATCGTGCTCATGCTCTTGCCGTCGGCGGTGCGGCGAGGCGGGCCATGGGGAGGGGGAGGAGGAGGAGGAGGAGGAGGGGGAGGGTACCAGCGAGGACGAGGAGGGGGGATTAGCCTCAAGAGCGGCTGGGACGTCGTCAACCTCTTCCTCGTGGCGTTCGCCATCCTGTGCGGCCTGCTTGGCCGCGCCGGCGACGGGGAGTCCTCTTCCGGCTCGGCTTCTACCGCGGCGGCGGCGGGGGCGGCGTCCGAGGGTGGCAGGAGAGAGCATCAGGTCTCGCCGTCCTTGGCGGCGGCGCCGGCTGCCGAGGCTGTGGGGGAGGAGCCGTCGACCGCCGAGGTGTGGGCGAGTCTGAACACGTCGGCGGCGGCGAGCTACGGCGGCAACAACCACTACGGGAGCACGGGGATCCGACGGTTGAAGAGCAGCAGCTCGTACCCGGAGCTGCGGCTCGACAGCGACGGCGTCTGGGGCCTCACGTCGCCGGAGGCGGCGTGGCGGTTCTACGACGACGCCGAGCTTTACCGGACGCGGCGGCCTGAGCGGAGCTGGGACGTGGACGCGCCGCAAAAGCGAACAACGACGACGCCGGAGGTGAAGACGATCCCTGTGGACACCTACGAGGTGCGCCGGAAATCGCTCCCGCCCAAGGAAGAGCGGCGGCGGCGGCGGGGCAGCATCGAGAGGCTCCCGAGCATGGCCGAGATCGCCGAGGAGGAGAGACCACACCCGCAGCCGCAACAACCGGTGGAGACGGTGACGCCGACGCCGCCGCCGCTGGCGAGGAGCAGGAGGTGGAATCCCGAGATGTTGGAGGTGGTGCTGGAGCAGGAGTCACGGGTGGAGGAGACGACGATGCCGCCGCCGCCGCCGCCGCTGACGAGGAGCAGAAGGTGGAACTCCGAGAGGCTAGACGCGGTGCTCGATCAGGTGGCGCGGGTGGATGAGACGGCGATGCCGCCGCCGCTGACGAGAAGCAGGAGGTGGAACTCCGAGAGGCTGGACCTGGACGCGGTGCTGGATCAGGTGGCGCGGGTGGAGGAGGAGACGGTGATGCCGACGCAGACGCTGGCGAGGAGCAGGACATGGAATCCCGAGATGCTGGACGCGGCGCTGGAGCAGCAGCAGGACACGTTGATGCCGCCGCCGACGCTGACGAGGAGCAGGAGGTGGAACTCGGAGAGGCTGGACGCGGTGCTGGAGGAGATGAGGGTGGAAGAGGTGGCGCCGGCAGCGACGCCGCCACCACCTGCTCGGCCACGACGGCGCAGCCGCAGCGTCGAGAGCCTGCCAAGGACAGAGGAGTTGGAGGCAGAGATAGTCGTGGAGGAGATCAAGTACCCCCTCCCATCGTCATCGCCGGCCATGTTCCCGCCGGGAACGCCGCCGCCGCCTCCTCCTCTGCCTCCGGCGACGGCGCCGCGGAGCAAGAAGAAGCGGAGCGGGAGCGTGGGCGGCGCCAAGGACCTCGCCTCCGCCATTGCTACGTTCTACCAGAAGAAGCGCAAGAGCATTGGCATCAAGAGCAAGAAGAAGCATCACCACAACCACCACCACCACCATCACCTCTCCGATGGCCACTACTCGTCGCCGTCGTCCGACGCCTCGGCGAGCCCTGACTCCACAGTCCGCACCACCAACCCCGCTCCGGCGCCGCCGCGGCGGCCGCCGCCCCCTCCCCCGCCGCCTCCATCATCCATCTTCTACAACCTCTTCAAGAAAGGCGGCAGCAAGAGCCGCCGCATCCACTCCGTCGCGCCGCCGCAGCCGCCTCCGCCACCTCCGCCCACCACGCGCCGATCCAGGAAACCGCCACAGCCACCGTCCCGCCCCGCTCCTCCTCCACCGCCTCCGCCGCAGCAGCAGCCGCCGTTTTATCCCAGGCGCGCTGTCGTCTACTACACCTACCCGCTCCCGCCGCCGTCGCCGCCGCTGCCACCGCCGCCTCCTCCTCCGCCGCCGCCAATGTCGGAGGGGGAAGAGGAGGCGCCTCCTTCCGTCACGGCGTCGCCGGCGCCGGCGTACTGCGCGAGCCCCGACGTGAACGCGAAGGCCGACAAGTTCATCGAGCGATTCCGCGCGGGGCTTACGCTGGAGAAGATCAACTCGTACCGCGAGAAGTGGCAGAGGCAGATCCAAGACGACTCATCGTCGGCCATGGCCGTGGCCGAGGAGGAGGGAGAGTTCATGGTCATCGGCTCCCTCTTCGACGACGACGACGAAGAGGATATCATCTCCTTGCCGGAGACGCCGGCGACCGCAACCGCCGTCGCCGTCGGCTTCTAACTACTAAGGTAGCGACGTGAGGTGTGGCACTGACCCTGAAAAAAAAAGAGAAAAAAAAGAAAAAAATGGGGAAAAACAAAAAAAAATACATTTCAATTTCGTTTTTGTTTTTGGGTTATATACCCATCGGATTTATTCTCCATTCTTGGGTAATTAGGAGAATCAACAGTTGAGTTATTGATCGCTATTGGAGAGGATCAATGCAGCTAGAGTGTGTGAAAAGGGAGAGATATAATTACTCCATTGAACAGAGTGGTAGAGAGAGAGAGAGAGAGAGAGAGGGAGCATTTTGTGCTTGTTTTAAAATGGCCAAAAAGCTCTCTTGATATTGCATTAGGGGATTAACTTGATGTGAATTACTACATATGTTTGGACATTTTTGTGTTTGTACTTTGTAATATACCAACAAAAAGTAATAGAGCTTTACTTTTTTTTTCTTTTTTTTAATCATCTTCGTTGTACATGTATGTACTCTCTCCGTCCCAGAAAGACTCAATTTCTAGGTTTTGGTGTTCAACGTTTAACCGTCCGTCTTATATGAATTTTTTTTATGATTAGTATTTTCATTATTGTCATATGATAAAAACATTAATAATACTTTATGCATAACTTATCTTTTTAATTTTTTTCATAACTTTTTCAAATAAGACGAACGGTCAAACGTTAGGCACGGAAACCTAAGAATTGAGTTTTTTTGGGACGGAGGGAGTACAAACTAGTACTCTCTCCGTTTCAAAATGTTTGACATTGTTGGCTTTTTAGTACATGTTTGACCGTTCGTCTTATTCAAACAAAAATTGTGAAATATGTAAAACTATATGTGTACATGAAAGTATATTTAACAATGAATCAAATGATATGAAAAGAATAAATAATTACTTAAATTTTTTGAATAAGACGAATGGTCAAACATATACTAAAAAGTCAACGGTGTCAAATATTTTGAAACGGAGGGAGTAGTACACATCTATGTACGGTAGTATGGATATATACTTATCTGATTTGCTTGCTGATACCCAAGTACGTACACGTACAATGCAGGGTAGCTGTCAAATAATGATTTGATTCGATGATTCGATCGGTGTTTGGTAGTGTGGTTCAATTTTAGTTTGGTTTAAATGTGGCCGGTTGTGCTTAGTTTAAACTGGGCCTCGTGTGGTTGTGCACCAGCCATCAAAGACACCGATGGAAATGGCACATTATATTGTGTCATCATCAACAACCTCACAAAACATCATCTCATCACCAGCAATAATTAACTCAAAAGGGGTACAAAATGAGTAGCAATAATCCACTTGCGATGCTTCCCTTAAAAAACAATGTGTACTCTGCCACCACTGTTTTGGTGGATGTGGTTGGATGTGCAATATGGTATAGCTTTCAAAAATTAAAAATTTGATTAGTGCTAGTAATGGTTTTTTGTATGGCACCCTTAATCTAATCCTTCCACCTTTTTCCTAGTTCTTTTCCACTTGAATCATGCTCTAGATGGGGCCAAGCTAGCTTGATCGAGATAATGGAGTGCAAGCCACTTTCATGTCCTAATCTTTCTGTTGGGGGGCACTGCACCACACTTGACTATTCTTCCGAATATGAGTGCATCTAGCTGGTTTGTTCAGCTATATATTTCAAACACGGGGAAATAATTCATGGGTCAATCATAAACTTCTCGAGTGTTAAGCAGAAAATTTTTTTCCATACAAAGTTTGAATTATATATGCGAAAAGTTTTTTAAGGGGTTCATTTTTCTAGCGAGTTGGAAGGACTCAAGGTCATGGTTCCTCTAAGTTTTATTTTTAAAAAACAATTGAAAGTTGTGTTGTGTAATTGTGTAAATGCTACTCCTAGCAGTCATATTGCTTTATTCATGTGTTTCTTAGTTTATGACGATTATTCATGTGCACAAATAAAACAATTAAATATTAAAAGGTTGAAAAGTCGGTTTAAAAGAGTTATGAGAATGTTGGTGCAGAAAGTTTTTTTAATACAAATAATATTGTTTAGCAGTTTAAAAAATATGTTGTGACAATCTCTATGAGGAAAAGAACGCTCCCTAAGCATATCATGCCCGTGGGGACAGATCCTAACATACATGCATGACTATATGAGAACCATTAATTCCACACTTGTGTACTCATATGTTGCAAAGATAGATACAATGTTTTTTTTTTCAACAAAATTCTTACAAATGCTCCTCTATTTTTTTAATAGGGACTGTTTATAGATCATTTGACAGAAAACCCCCTCATAAATCTTGCAAATTTTGGACCACCCGATTGCTTTAAAATTCGTGCAGGCAACCAAACCCTAAAAATCCTCTCTCCTCTCCCAATTCCTCACGCGCCGCCACCCCAACGCGCCGCCGCCCGGCCTCGCCGGCTAGCCGAAAGGTGTCAACGGTGCCGGCGAGGCCCCCCCAGCCGGCCCCCTCCCCCTCCCCTTCCCCCTCCCCCTCCCTCTCCTCTCCTTTGCCTCAAGCCGGCGGCCGTGAGCTGTCCGTCGTCATCCCCATCGCTAGCGGCGGGCGCCACCACCGTCCGCCTCCTCTTACAACTCTTTCCGCTTTGCCCCCGCCGCCATCCTCCAGCCCCGCGGCTTCGGCGCCGCCGCCGCCGCCCGCCCGATCCGCCACCCACCGCCGGGCTGCCGCCTCCCACGGCCATCCCTCTAAAGCCGGTGAACTCCCCCCCTCCACACCCCCACCCCACCCCCACCCCGAGACCCTATTTCGTCGGCCCTCTACCGGAATTTAGGTTTGCCGGTGCCGGAGAAGAAAAGGTGGTCGCCGGAGTTGGAGAAGAAGAGCACGAATCGTGAAGCACATCCAGTAATCCAAATTTTGCAAGATTTAAGGTAGGATTTTCTATCGACAGAGTTTTAGCAATTCCGTTTTTAATATCATAGCATATGCTTGTCAATGAGCATCACTCCAACGCTGCGTGCCTGGTCACTCTGCAAAATGAAAGCCGACAGTCAGATTACTTGTTAAATCGCATGAGGCCTATATATGGGGGGCCTAATGGACGATCGATCGATCGCCTGGGCGATCGCCCAGCGATCGGATCCCCCCCCCCTTTCCCTATAGGCAATACCTCCTCCCACTTCTCCCATTCCTCCTTCCCTTCTTCTCTTCCTACTACAGTACACCATAAAAAATTAAAAAAAAGTTAGAAAAATTTATGTATAGAAATACTATATATATAAAAAATTTGAATTCAAATTCAAATTTGAATCGGGTATGTAAACTTTTGACTTATAAACTTTGGATCTATAAACTTTAGGTGTATAAACTTTAGATGTATAGAAATATTATATATAGAAAATATTTGAATTTAAATTCAAATTTGAATCGGATATAATTCAAATTCAAATTTGAAACGGGTATATAAACTTTTGACTTATAAACTTTAGATCTATAAACTTTAAATGTATAGAAATACTATATATAAAAAAATATTTGAATTCAAATTCAAATTTGAATCGGAAATATAAACTTTTGACTTATAAACTTTTGGTCTCTAAACTTTAGATGTGTAAACTTTAGGTGTATAAATTTACTAAAATAGGAAAGTAATGTAGTGCCAAAAAAGGAAACCAGGTGGAGATGTGGAGGGAGGGAGGGGGGGCAAAATCTGATCGCCCTTCGCCCAGTAGCATTTCCGGCCTATATATGCCATTCTCAATCATGTTGGCCGTGACATCTTTGGATGATCATCAGCAATTCTGCTACCTCCGTTTTTTAAATATACGACGACGTTAACTTTTTTACCAACGTTTCATCTTTCATCTTATTCAAAATATTTATACAAATATAAAAATATTTAAGTCATGCTTAAAAAACATTTGATGATAAATCAAGTCACTATAAAATAAATGATAATTACTTTTTTTAATAAGATGAATGGTTAAACTATCTTAAAAAGTTAATGGTGTCATATATTAAAAAACAGAGGGAGTATTAGTTAACTAAAAAATCGCATGCATGGATTGTTTGACTGGTTTGTAATTTCAAACCGGATCAAACTGTTTGATTGCCTGCTGTATTAATTAATTTGCACTTGCACACAGGCAGTGTTTGTAATCCTTGGCTGTGTTTAGTTCCTGAAATTCAAGAGAAGTTTTGAGAAAGTTGGTAGTTTGAAAAAAAATTGAGAGTTTATATGAGTAGAAAAGTTTTGGATGTGATGTGATGTGATGGAAAGTTGAAAGTTTGGGGGAAGTTTGGTGTTAACTAAACAGTGCCCTTGTGATGCTACCACTTCAGCAAAACAGAACCAATCAGTCCTCTACATTTTCATTGTTTGGTGTCTGCATGAACAACGTGGCGTGCTATTTTAGCTGCATTGTGACAAATACATCTTGTTCACCCTCTTCTCTCAGGAAGCCAGGCAGCGGTTCTTGATAAAGATATGTGCAAGTGTTCAATGATTTTGATTTGTATTTACTGTTACGTCGCTGTTACTAATCTTGCTCAAAAACTCTGTTTGGTACTTGAGCTTCGAACAATTATTTCCCATTTCTTGGTCGGTTCAGGATCACGTTGACAGGATGCGGACAAATAATGATAGGCTCATTGGCATGCAATTCTAGTGCTAGTACTAGATGTTCAGCAGTCAGATGTCACATTCAGAAAATGAGTTTGATTGATTTTATCTACGGTGTATGCGTCCAAAATGAGTTTGATTGATAAAAGTACAGTAGTATACTACCTCCGTTCTAAATTAGTGGTTGCTTTGATTGTTTTTTCAACGTTTGACCATTCGTCTTATTTGAAAAATTAGTGCAAATATAAAAAAGATAAGTCATGTTTAAAGTGCTTTTGATAATAAAGCAAGTCACAAACAAAATAAATAATAATTTCGTAATTTTTTAAATAAGACGAATGATAAAAGTTACAAATAAAAACTTAAAGCGACAAGTATTTTAGGACGGGACGTAGTATCATATCAACAATACTAGAGCACACGTGGCAATGTATACAGCAACATTGCTTGACTTGCAAGCTTCACACTCTGAAAGCTCCAAACCAAAAATCGTTTTTCTTTCTTGGCTTAGTACATATCAGCTCAGCTCTGTACACGCAGGCACACACAACTCAAGCAACCACTCTCTGTTGAAAGCGAAAGGGAGACCAAACCAAACAGAAAAAAGAAAAAAAAACAAATCTGTATATGTACTCCTCTCTTTTTTTTCTTTTTTCTTTTTGAAGTAGTTATATATACTCAAAACTCAAAACCCAAAACTCAAAACTGTGGTTTGTATCATGCGCTATGTACATCATCAGAACACGAAAAAAACGCGTGTAGATGTAGATCAGTTGTCGTTTTCGTTTTAGGGCATCAGATGTGGAGAGCCCTTGTTCTCCTGAATCAGGGGTGGCAGATCCATATCTGCTATGTCGATGTGAACCATCAGCTTTGCAATGTCATCGATGGAGAACGGTATACTGCAACAAGAAATCGGAAATGGATCAGATCATCAGGTGACCGAGATGGTAGTCAAGGAAACAAAGGGGAAAAATGTACTGTACCTGAAATCGTCATCTAACAGGAAGGAATTGATGTCATCTTGTGTCGATGGACTGTTCGATCCCTGCTGGACCATCTTGGTTCTCATGCTCGAAACCACCTGCAGTTTAGATTGTTTAGTCCACGAGGTGAAGAAGATGAATCTTGTAAAAGTTCTTGTCAGGAATGTATTGGAATCACATACTTCTGGAGGAATACCCAGAGTTCCATACTTGTCGTCGCAATACATTGTGCTGATTCTGTATAGCTGCTGCATGCTAAGTGCCTGTTTGCCAGGATAGAATGCATCATCCAATTTTGTTATTGACATAATGAGATTAGCAAAGCAGGTAGTGTAGATAAAGTCAAAATCTTACTGGGCAGTACTCATCAGTGATTTCTTTGAGAGACTTGCTGTGCTTCTCTTCAAGTATCAGAAGTGCTACGGCCTGCCTAATATGCTTCAGTTCGTCCCAGGAAGAACCTGCATACTGTTTTTCACATGAAGGTTAGAGACTGCTTCCTGAAAGACTTGTTCAGACAACGTAAAGACTTTTTTAAGTTTTTAACCTCTTCAGTCAGCCAAAAGCACCAGTGCTCTAGCTCATCCAACCCAGCTTTAACATACTCTCCATTACTGAATGAACAGCATTCACGCCGTAGCAGAAGACTACCATTGAAGTGATAAAAATTTGTCATATGAGTTCATGGTGCTAGTTTGAGAAATATGGAGAAGTGAATCGTTAGTATGCATGTGTACCTGTTGAAGAGTTGAACATTGATGAATGAAAATAGTTGGGTGAACAGCTTGCAGATTAGGAAGGGAGGCACCTGCAATGTAAAGAGGTTTAGATGGCGTGTATACTTGAATTAAAATTGTATCTACTGCCAATTTAATTTTTTTTATCTTACATAATTGGATTTTAGGACATTCAGCGAATTTGTAAGAATTTTGATGATGCTCTGCCAATGTGCCATAGAAGCTTGCTGTGCCAAGTCTGTTCCTTGAGCGCCTGACCCTCTGGGGCTTACAACAAATGTTCTTGGTGCCTAGAGAAAATTATATCCGTCATTCTTAACTTTCAGCAAATATACTTTTGAAACTGAAAGAAAGATATGCAGAAAGCACAATGCTACCTGAATACAGAGACCAAGCAGTGGGGACAGTTCCTTCTTCAAATTGTGCCTGATAATTCCATAGACCTTCTCCAGCAATGCAGTGAGCTGCTGCTTGAAAGCAAGAGCTGGATACTTGGCTTCAACCTGGCAAACTTCACCTAGTCCACCGACTAACCGTCCATCAGGAACTGGACTACGGTCAGGATGATTAGGTGCTTGATTTTCCTGGAATTTTTGCAACTAATATTGAGTCCAGAATCCCAAACTCACTTACAAAATCACTTAGGTTGTTGAGCATACAGAGTTTATTTTTCGGTACATTACCTGTGGCGTCTTCAGGGGTGATGCTCTTCGCCTCTGACGAGCCAAAGCAGCTGCCCCGTTGATTTTCAGTGTTTTTTGGAGAAGCAGCAGCAGTGTGCATGAATTGGATAGCCAATATGCTAATGTCTCATTGTTGTCTCGAGCCTTGCAAGAGAAAACAAACAATTGATGCATATATCTTCTTATGAATAATAGTTGCAGATATGTGCATACCACTGCCACATACCTCAATTGCAGCACTTATCTTCTGAATAATGCGATCAAAAACTGTTGTCCTGTCCTCTTCAAATGATTTCCAGTGGATCAGGCATCGGTAGATGAGGTATGCGGCAATAGGCCTTCCAATAGAGAACCCAAGATCTTCAGATATGCACTTGATCAACAGCTCCTGGATATTCAGAAAAAAATGTTTAAGGCGTGACACCTGAACGAAATTGTGATACTGCTTGAAACACAAACAGAAGTTCCGAATTACTAAGCATCATACCTGCTGCTGCTTCTCAGCTTCAGGATCATTCAGGCCAGGCAGTTGAGAATTGTTCTCCTAGATTGAAATTAAATGTTGTTAAATCAGGAACTCATTCTACGAATATACTGATCAAATATAATTTGATGATTATACTTACATGGATGTCAACCCCTCTATCCACTATCATTGGCTTCACCTCACAATAAACTGCTTTCTCATTCTCATTCTCATCCTCATTCTCTGGAGTTGGCTGTTAAGATGCACATGATTGAGCACGCTGAGCATCAAAATTGTGCGTCGAAATTCATCAATGTGATTTCAGGTACCTCAAGATCAGGATCATCACGGTTTACGTTTGACGGCAACCTGACATAAGGGACTGACGCGACAGCTCCTCGAAGCTTCTGGTTTTCTTCCTCAAGATCAGATGCCTTCATCTCCATCCTAAGTAAAAATAAATAAAAATCCATGCAAAACACTATGAGTTCTCCCATGAACTCGCATACTGGGATCACACATTAATTGTGCAGGCACATCAGAGATTCAGAGCTAACAAGTCTGAATTCTGAAATACTGAACCTTTTCAGGGATTCTTGCAGCTGCCTGTTCTTCACCTCCTCGACACCGAGCAACCTAGCCAGCTTCTCGTTCCTCAGCTCGGCTTCGGCGACCGCCTTCTTCGCGTCAAACGTCGCCTTCATCTCTGCTCCCAGCAAATCCTGCAACTCGAAATGTCAAAATGTAGCATCTGGTTTGGTTGGTCACTGCATCTTTCTTTCAGCTGAATTTGTTCATGGATCACATGAATCAGACCACTTTCTTTAATCTGAATTTGTTCATGGATCATATGAATCAGACCGATTTCTTTGATCTGAATTTTGTTCATGGATCACATGAATAAATTGCACATTTAGAGGCATCGATGGTGTCACCTTGAGGCGGGCGACTTCGGCGGCGAGCGAGTCCACCTTGTCGGTGTCCACGACCTGCACGACGATCTCCTTGATCACCGGCGGCGCCTCGGCGATGGCCTTCTTGGCCGCCTCCCGCTCGGCGATCACCCGCACCTCCGCGTCCTCCACCGCCTGCTGGAGCACGTCCACCATCTCCCTGAGCCTGCACGCCTCCGCCGCCCTCTCCTGCTCGATCCGGAGCCTCGCGAGCCGCCGCCGCGCGGCGCGGCGCCTCCAGGCGCACTGGCAGATCACGGCCGCCGCGTGCTCCCGCGCCGCCGCGCGCGCGCGCCACCGCGCCTGGATGAGCGCGGCGGCTGCGGCTCGTGCGGCCCTGCGCCGGAGGGAGAGCTCGCGGCGGGCGGCCATCCCCCGGAACGCGGCCTGCAGGGTGACGGCGGCGGCGGCGCGCGGCCGCAGCCGCGACTCCTTCCACGACAGGTAGGCGCGGCGCAGGCCCCGCTCCGCCAGGAGCGCCAGGAAGAGGAGGAACGCCGTGCGCCACCTCGCCACCTCCCCGTACCTCTGGACGAACACCTCTGCGACACATCCAGCGATCGATCGAGAGAAGTCAGAGTGAGCTCGGATTTTCTGCAGCTAGGATCCATGGATGGATCGCCGCGCGAGCAAGAAGGTGGAGAGATCACTCACTGAGTAGTTGAATCCAGGCGATCATCCGCCGCCACGCCGGGCCGCCGTGCGACGGCGGCCGCGTGATCGCGGCGGCACTCCTCCTACTCCGATCTCCATCCATGGAGAGGAGTCGTCCGAGCTTGACCTTGACCTTGATGAGGTTTCTTTCTACTCTTGTTCTACAACAAGATGCATGTGAAGATCTTGGAGATGGAATCGATGCAACAAATTCAAACAAACACGAAACGAATCATGAGTGATTCGAATGACAACGATCAAACTTAGCTTACCACAGTGTGAGATTGATCAGAGATGATGACGCGATCTCTTGATCGATCGCCTAGCTTGCAGCTGGCATGGCATCTGCCAGCCTTACTTGCTTAGCTACTTTCCCTTCTCCTGCACAGCTGCACTGCCTTCCTCTTCTCTTCTGTTCTTCACTTTACCATGTAACAATGACATGTCACCTCAAAAGATCATTAACAAGGGAGAAAAAAGATACAGAGAAAAATAATCTTATGGCCAATTCCATGAATAAATTTCAATGGTTTTGGACAGCGAAATCCATAGGTTACATGAAGCAGACAAAAACTTGGCACTTTCTCAGTATATAAACAGAAGAATTGGTAGGAGGAATTGGCAATTTGCAGAGGTTTGGTAGGCCAGTGCCTGCCAATAAATTAATTAGTTAAATCGATTTATTAATAGATCAAATCATACATTTCAACTAAACCGGCCATTTCATTATGTGCACAGTGCACGTTGCAATATAATGCAAAGAGCTGCACGGCCAGTTCCAAACTTCCAATGGGAATGGAGGCGACTTGGTGGGCCGCACATCTCTTCCAACAGCTGGAGTGCATCGCAGTAATAAAAATCATTTTTTGCTTCTTTTTTTTCCCCTACATTTCTCCTTTCTGTTCACCAACCGAAATTGGATTTGTAATTTGTAGCACTAGTTTGGCAGCAGAGATAATTAAATATGTTTAGTTTTGACAGGTGAAGGAACAATAGTTAGCTTATCTGTCATGCATAGATACATTCTGTAAAGTTTCAGGGAACAGGGAGGTAGTAGGGCCATTGCCAGGGAGATCGCCAGTGGAAGTGTAGGGCTAGTACTGGTAATTATTGAGGATAAAAGAAGCGAAAAGGAGGCGGGAAAGGTAACATAAATAACTGCTGCAAGCGTGCTATTTCCTTATATTTTTCTTTTGAGTAAAATACATCATCGATCCTTAAATTTGGATCACGGTGTCACTAATGTTTATAATCTTATAAATGACTCATCTAGATCGTAATCTTTCACATACGCTTTGGAACTCGACAGTGACGAACGCAAGACTAAATTTTAGGAGGTGCTAATGAAATAACATAGAATAAATATAAGACAAGTTTAAAAGTTATATTATCTCTGTTTCAGGTTATAAGACGGTTTTGACTTTATCAAAGTCAAACTGCTTTAATTTTGATAAAGTTTACAGGAAAAAAATACTAACATTTTCAATCCAAGATAAATTTATTATGAAAATATATTTAATTATTGATTTGATGAAACTAATTTAGTATTATAAATATTACTATATTTGTCTATAAACTTAGTCAAATTTGAGATAGTTTAACTTTGACCAAAGTCAAAAACATCTTACAACATGAAATGGAGAGAGTACGTATATATGAAGAATTGAAGAGCATGTATAGTGGGTCTAGCCAATAGTAGGAGGGGCTCAAGCCCACCTCCCCCCCCCCCCCCCTGTTGGGATCGCCATTGGACCTCGAGTGGTAAATCAAACAAGATCACTGATCTAGATGAACAATTTACAAAATAATGTAACTAAGTGGCACCTAGATCCAAGTTTATAGGCCATCAACAAAGTTTACTCTTTTCTTTATAGAATTGGTATGTCCTAATACTGCTTCAGTGGAGTTACTGGATTGTTTCGATCGCATAGTACATAAAATTAGACTGTATACTACTACTAGATAGATTTATGGAGAATAATTTTGTGACGTGATAAAGCTGTTTGATAGAACTTTAGTTTCACTAGAGTCGGATCCTTGTCCGTTTTGTAGTCATCTGCTAACTGGCAAACTGTGTGATTTTTTAATGTCTCACCACCGTCTGGAGCACTTGTTACTGTGAACCTGTGGTATACTCCCCCTGTTAAAAAAATCAAACTTATTCCTATAATTTATTTTTTATTAATTATTATAAATAAAAATTCGGTAACAGAATGCCATCTGACCTCATCTATAGCAAGTCAATAACTATCCTCCGACCTTTGATCCTAGGAATCCGGCAAAGGCTACAGACGGGACTGTTCTAGTTATACCTAGCAGCTGAACATGCCCAATATTGATATGGACATGTGGCATCATTGGTATCCTTCTCTTTCCCACCTCTGTTGTGAAACACACACAAAGCGCATGAAGGTGTCAAAGGAGAAGAGAGCTGGTAGCAAAACTTGGTACACCAATGTTTAGAAAGCACATGAAGGCATTGGCGCAGGTCGGGAATAGTGAAGCACAACAATGGCTGGGAGGGGAGGAGGATGTGGTCGGGGTGATAGGGTCGGAAGCTCGAAGCAACGATGGTGGCAACAGTGTTCTGCAGGGGAAAGGAAAAATAGAAAATGATTGGTTTTTTCGAGACGAGAGAATATTTGGCCCCGGTTGGTAGCTTGACACAATTGACGGGTACAACCACATTTTCATGGGCCGCCCCAACAGGATCTAGATTTGTTCTTATCCCTCTAGCGATTAGTAATCCAAAAAGCCCAACGGGCTAAAGCAAATCCCATCCTCCAGCCTACAAAACCGCCTTCTCCCTTGACGTCATTTCAAATAATGTCTTCATGCTGATTTGTATTGCTATGAAAATTTATAATCTTATTTGGCATTCTAAATAATTTTAAATAAAAAAAGTCATAGACTACAAGTTATCGATCTTATTGAACTCTACAACTTTAAAATAGAGTTTATCTCCATCGGAGGACTTTGAAATGTAGATATAATATTTTGTAAAAATAGATTTAAGATTTTGTAACGAATGTTTGAAACCCCTAAATGATCTTAAATAAAAAAAATTGTATGTCTCGTCGAGCTCTATAGTTTTGATATAAGTTTGATTTCATCCGATTTCATATTATGGGTCTGTTTGGCACAGCTCCAGCTCCAGCTAGCTCCACCCCCCTTGGAGCTAGAGCTCAGCCAAACAGTTTCAGCTCCACCAAAACTGGGAGTGGAGCTGGGTGGAGTCCTCTCACAAAATGTACTAGAGTTGTGGAGTTGGGTTTAGGCAGCTCCACAACTCCACTCCAAACCCAATTCCTGGAGCTAAATTTAGGAGTTGGAGATGTACCAAGCATGCCCTATATATTTGAAAATTGTGAAAATATAGAGGTGACAAGCTATGCGGGAAAATTTGCTTTCAGCCACTTCTCTTATAAGAGGGCGCACAGCTTTTTTATATTAATTAAAAAAGTGCCCTCCGAGAGGGCAGGAGGAGCCTCTCCTCCAAACCCTGTATGCGCTCTCTAGTAGCGTGAATGCACACTTCTTTCCTTGAACAAGCTGCCCCATTGTCTTTATGAGCAAACATCTATGCAACAAAATAAACATAGTATATGGTATAAGAAATGAGCTCGATTAGGACCCTATATATGTATTTTTCTATATATATATATATATATATATATATATAGAAATTAAGTTGTAAAGGGGGATTGGAAATACTAGTACTTGTGAGGTGGTATATATAAAAGGTAAAAAATGTCCATGATATCGATATCTATAACTAATATAAATATTTGGATTTTTCCGGTCGTCACCTAATACTTCCGATCGATTTTTTTCGTCTGTCGTCCGTGTTTGAATCCGAGACCGTCTTGAAAAAAAAAATTCCTGAGCGGACTCGAAAGAAGCCGAAAAAAAATAAAAAAACAAATTTAATCAATCGGCATTGGAGTGAAAATAAAAGAAGCCGACTCGATCAATCGGCTAATCGAGTCGATTGCTCCCAATCCCATTGCCCCCAATTCCCAAAATACATGAATCACAAAATTACTCAATTGCAATCCCAAATCAAAATAAAAAATCTCCACAAAATCAACATCCCAAATCAAACCGCCGTCGTACTGTGGTTACTATATCAACATTCCAAATCACAAAATCCTCAAAATATTCACAAATCAAAAAAACAAAATCCTCAAAATATTCACAAATCAAAAATCGAACCACCGTCGGCTCCACGTCGGGGAGGTGAGGGGCAGCCAGGGGGGCGGGGAGTTACTGCCAACACACAAGGAGGGAAGCAGCCGCCGGCCGCCACTCCGGGTAGGGGGAGCAGCAGCCATCGGATAACTGTGAGAGGAGCCGCTGCCCTCGAATCCGCCGCGGGAGGAGCTGCTGCCACCCGATCCACTCTCAGCCGGCGCCGCTGCCGCCAGATCCACACGCGGTCGCCGTCCCCGTCGTCAGATCCGCTTGGGAGGGAGGCGAGAGGGGGCAGAGGGAGCCGCCGCCGGATCCGTCCTCATCCGCTGCCACCGCTGCCAGATCCACCCGCGGCCGCCGCCGACGCCGCCATCGATGCCGGATCTACCGCGGGAGGGAGGCGAGATGGAGAGAAGGAGATGGCGAGCGATGCGAATCCATCCGTGGCTCGCTCGGCCTCCCCGTCTCCGACCACTCTCTCCGCCTCAAGCTGCTCGCCTCCGAATACCACCGCCGCCTCCACGTCTTCGCCCTCTAGGAGGACCTCCGTGGTGATGGCATCGTGGATCTGGCCGGCAACTCGAGGGAAAAAGAAGGCCGGCGACGATGTTGTGGATAGGCCGTCGACGATGTGGTGGATCGGCCGGCAACGTTGAGGGAGAGGAATAAACAGAGAAAGTGAGGACGGAGAGAGGCGGAGAAAGACGGGAAGAGAGAGGAAAAAAGAGGGAGCGACTGTCTAGATATTTTTACTGGTCGTACATAGTGTACGTGCTTGAGACTTTAGATAATTACAGTCAAGTGCCATTGTGCTCTATATTGTGGTAACCACAAGATTGAATTTCGCTGAAAACAAACTATTTTTGACATACACATACCAACTTTACAGACAAGTAATATTTTATTTTATTATTACTAGCAAAATACACGTGCTTCGTTACGGGTAAAAGAAACCGTTAAATAGTATAAAATGCAAACAATTAAAATACTTGCCCATTAATATTTGTTTGAGATAAAAAATATCGATTGTAAAAAAAATTAAAATTTTCCATGAGACAACATATTAGAGACACTAGCGGTGGAGCTATCGTGGGCCTCTGACTCATTTCATGCATAGGATAGGATAATTATTACTGAGATGTGCACGAGATGTGCAGTGAGGTTCTTAGTGTCGATCAAAGCGATCGCCTCAGCCGTACGGCGCGGCGTCGTGCATGCCACGTCGCATATGACGGCGAGCCGCCTAGCCCGGTTAAGGAATCTCACAGCGGTGAGCGACATGTCAGAGAAAGATGGCGAGGTTGACTTGCGAGGTGGCGCCGCGGCCAAGACTAGATGGGCGGAACCTGCCCGTGCCGCGGCGGACCGCATGATGGGAGTGTCTGCGGAGCTAGCGGTCCGGTGGCGG